GAGAGAGCTGTGGCGTTTCCCTACTGCCCCGTCGCCATCTTGGTCCCCCCTTCCTTGCAACCACATTTTGTGTCCTCTGTGGGAGGAGGAGCGTGGGAAAGTCTGATGTCCCCCTCCAAGCCTCAGCCCTCCTCCCTCTCCCTGCCCCCCCCCGACCACCATGTGCAGTGGGCTTTACTCCATGGGGGCCATCAACGAGTCAACTCTTTCTCCTTCTGGATCTCATTAACTGAGTGTGAAATACTGAACCACCTTGAACCTGTCCTTCCTTTTCCAGGGCTCTGAGCAATCGGGATGGTAACACCAAAGTTTGGATGTCCTAGATCAGCTCGGTGGCTGGTTCTGCTCAGACTCTCAGAACTCCACATAGAATTGTGCTCCAAAAACCACCAACCATCCTGGAAAAAAGCTCTCAATGATTTTTACTTATTTGACAGGTTGTTTGGCGCTGATAGGTTATTTACTCATCGATACATATTCATCGATCGTTTTCACGAGTGACCCATAATTTGAAAGAGATTTTTTTTTTAATTTCCAGGGCAACAACGAATCCTTGCAACCACAGTAAGGGGCGGGCTATTACAATCTATTTGTTCCAAAATAGAAATCGGAAACTCGGAAAAGGGTGACTCATGTAAGGGCACACTACGGGAGGAACAGTAATGTGGAGATTGAAACCTAAATTAAGAGTGCTCCCCAACCTCATATTCTTTCTAGGAAACATCATCCCCTCACATCTCTGTATGAGGTGTCTTAACAGATACCAGATCAAGTGCACTGGTGGAGCAATGTTCTCTACACTCAATCGACACACGCTGGGACCACTCTAGGGCTCAGTTCGTGAAAGAGAAGTTATACCCATCACTGCATCACACAGTGAACAGAAAGGAAGCAAATACCCCTCCCACCCCATCCATCCTCCTCAGTCAAGGACTTGTGCCTATGCCACTTATGAAGAAGAATCTTCTAGCATTTCAGCCCTGTAAAGTCTAATTCCCCTACCCCGTCTGTTATGTGGGGATGTTGAGACCAGAGAAGTAAGCTGCTGTTTCCATCTTTCTGAAAACTCAGCATCTGCACACCAGGTGAGACAGAGTCTCTTTCCAGGGCAAATCCCTGCTTCCTCTGCTAGCCCCAAGAATTCAGGGATTCATATGACCCTCAAGTCCCAAGGCTGATCCAGCCAGAGGTCAGAAGATGGAGAAAGGAGAAATGCATAGATTTATCCACTCATCTACACATGGCCCATGGCAATGAGGTGCAGGATGCCTTACCTCTGCTCCGCAGGGCTGTAGGTCTCTCCTCTCTGGCAGCTGCTCAGGGTGACAGGGTCAAAGTTGTCGAAGGAGCGGAGGGCCACCCCCGAGATGGCGACCAGGGGCGAACTGAAGCTCACACGTACCGCCTGGCTGTGGTAGAAGGGCTGGCTGAGGTCATGGACCACAGGGATAATCAGGGGATTGTTCCTGCAGCTCAGGACATGGAGGCCTGTCAGGGGAGACAGGCTCATTACTCAAGGCCAGGCACGCCCTCCCCAACGGGCCCTTCCTGAAGCCCCCAGACCCTTTCATGTCACTGCACAAAAGCACCATTGGGCGGCCAACGGGGATTTTGAGTTTGATTGAAAGTTTCTTTGTCTGCCTTTTTTTCCCCCTTGGTTCCAAATCTTTCCAATCCCCTCCCCCCCACCTCCCTGCCCCTTAAAGCTTTCTCTTCACCTAGCATCTAAAGTCCTTCTCCCTCCCCCAAATGGCCACCTTTGTCCAAGCATCTCGGGCTCTTACTCCCTCCTACATTGCCTCAGAGATTCACAGTTCAGGATAACTGCCTGGCTGGTCATAAAAGTGATGGGAATAATTCATAACCACAGGCCCTTCTCAGGGTGAAAAAGCCCACTGACATGGGTAATCTTCAAGCCCCAGGATGAGTCTTCTGAGGCATGGATTGCTATGCCCAATCTGCAGAGAAGAAAAACTGAGGTACTCAGGCTACACTACGTGTGACCTTTCAGATAGATGGACCACCACTGTGGTGCAGGTCAAGGACAATCCAAGACTGCCTCACACAAGAAGCACTCCACAGTCATGCGCATGCCTCCCTTGGTCTGGCAGCAGGTCCCCAGATTTAAAGAGGAAAACGCGGACAGTAAAATACATAGAGTGGGAGAGAAGAAAAGGGGATGGGGCCGAATGGAATGTGCAAAAAAAGAGAGCTAGCTAGGTGGTCCTGGGTTTCAAGGTTGGTTTAGCCACGTTCTGATGAGGAGATTCTAATAAACGCCTAAAACTCCATTTCTATGTCTGGGAAACCCGGTGATCCTATCAGTGTCCTGGCGGCTTTGCTCGGATGGAAGGATTTCTCCATTGTGGACACGTAAAGGCTTACTTGCTGCCTTTTCTCTGTTCATCTCTCAGGTCTCTGCAACCTGTGCTGGGGATGTGAGGATGCGGAGGACAGGAACATACAGTATGGAGGGACTGGTAGCAAGAGCCAAGAGGTTTCTGGGGAGCCAGACTTCTCCCCCTCTCCGCTGCGAAGCCTTTCCTCAGAGCCCTTTGCTGAGCCAAAATGACTATCAAAATATTTGCTTCTCACTTTGGGAAATTTCCCAGGAATCCAGATAAATCCAGAGGGGTTTTCTTTCTCTTCCTTATTTATATGTCTGCACCCTCCCCCTACCTTTAAAACGACTGAATAAATAAACATGAAAACAAAACATCTTCCCTTCTCCCTTGGCTTCTACCTGACCCTGAAGTGACCCCTTGTCTGCTTGCTTCTTAAGGGGTTTTGAAATGAGCTCTCTGTGGAATGGTGTGGGCACAGCTTTGAAGTCCAAGCTCCAGTGCTGGCCCGGAATTCCAAACACTTGGATGGGTTACCCAGATCTCTCTAGGGTAGGCTGGAAAAGAGAGGGTGTAAAAGGAATTTCTTAGTGAGAATAGGAAGTCATGATTGCTAGGCTTCTTTCAAAGGGCATTATAGTGACACAATAGTGTTAGTATCTCCTTCTGACCTTAACACGGGCATCATTGCATTGTGCCTGTGAAAACAGAGATGCTGAGAGGTTAAAAGAAAATCTGCTAACACTTTCTAAGAGAGGGAGGGAGGAATAGGTATGGGATTCAAATTCTGGTCCCTTTCCTCAATACTGTGGAGCATATAGACATGTGGAGAGAGGGAGGGAGTGGACAAGGGACAGTTATTATCCCTGCTCTCCCACCTGACTCAGGGCTCAGGGTAGATTCCTGAGAGGTAAGACCTGATTCTGATTCCCCACCCACTTGCCCATTTCTGAACTCAATAGAATTTTTACTTTCCATGATCCCACAGGGAGCTTGGGGGGGGAGTGAGAGTGAGAGAGAGATTGAGCGAGTGAGTGAGCGAGAAAGAGAGAAAGACAGAAAGAGAGAGAGGAGAGAGAGAGGGTGTGTGTGTGTGTGTGTGTGTGTGTGTGTGCTGGTGATATGATCACCATTTGGGGGGGAAGTTCTCACAGAAACCTCTGGTTATGTTTTTGAACCCTGAGTACTCATTCAAAACTTGTGTGACCTGAGATCACTCCCACCTCTCCATGGGTTGTAGAGCTAACATGGCTGATAGCTCTTTCTTAGTCTCCTTCCCAGTAGTGTCTTTGGAGGATCCTGGGGGATGCACGAGGTTAAAGCTATCTGACAAAAGGGCTTTGCCATTGACTCCTTGTCTGTATACCTACCAAATCCATGTTTCTCTGCATCAGCTACATTTTTGATTGAGGCAAACAGAATGTCCAAGAGTAAAGAAGCAAAAAGACAAAAAGGTAAGGAAGAGATCATGCCTAGCTCATCCTCACATCCACCCATGGCACATGAGTGGAAGCAGGTAAACAGCGAGAGGTAGGCTCAGGAAAAGATGCTTGCCTAGATCGTGGCTCTGGTCTTTGGTATCTAGTAACTGCACGCTGATGGTCTCTTGCTTTTGGTCTCCATAGTATGTCCCATCAGTCACCAAGTGGACAATGACAGCTGTAGCAACCATTGGCTGAGAGAAATATGTCTGAAATAGAGAAGACATGAGAAAGTCACTTAGGAGCTTAGCCACATGGAAAGGAAGCAACCACTCTGGGGTGGATCTGGGGGCAATCTTCCTCCAATTCAGGAATTAGCCCCAGACAGGAAGGAGAAAGCATGACTCACAGACTCTGAGATTAGAAACCCTGCTTCAGTCCTGGGTTTGCTTCCACTTAGCTGTTGATGCTGAGTGGAGAGCTGGGCTTAAGTTTCCTCCAGCGTTAGCCTGTAACTAGGCATCAAAGCAATGGAGCAAAAAAATATACAAGGCCCTTATATGTCTGTGAGAGTTTAAAGTAAATCAATGATACATAGATTAAATAAATAAAATTTATGAATCTTTTTTTTGTCAGTTGTGGGGCTTGAACTCTGGGTTTGGGCGCAGTCTGTGCGCTCTTCAGCTCAAGGCGAGTGCTCTACCACTTGAGCCACAGCACCACTTCTGGTTTTCTAGTGGTTTATTGGAGATAAGAGTCTCACAGAGTTTCCTGCCCCAGCTGGCTTTGAACTGTGATCCTCAGATCTCAACCTCCTGCATAGCTAGGATTATAGGCATGAGCTACCGGGGCACCCAGCTAAAATTTATAATCTTTAATCAGGACTACATAAGCTAACATGTGACAGGTGCTACATAACAGGAGGTCAAACAGGTGTAGAGCTAGAAGCAAAAAAAAAAGTCATTTTTCCCCCTTTGGAGATCAGTGGAGTCTTCATGGAAGAAATTCTGAAGGCCTGGAGTACAAATGAAGCCTTAGGAGGCAGTGAGTGAAAATAATCATCTCCAAAGTTACCACTCAGTTTGGTGGTTAGCTTGAGATGCCATGGCTCTTAAAACTTAAGCTTCCCTATTTCATGTACATGTTCAAAAATAGAGCGATGAAGCCTGTTGAAATTTTAAGAAGGAGGGGAATCTAACGTACACTGTAAGATTCTAACTATATATTACAATGTCACAACATCCCTGCTGTGCAACTAATATGTGATAATAAAAACATTTTTTAAAATCATGGGCTTACCTGGAGCCAGAAAGAGGTCTGAGAGACCTGGGAATATGGGTAACTGATGGTGCAAGGGTACCAGGCATGCTGGGAAATGCCTTCACTGAGGTCGATCACCTTGGTTCGACAGATCTAGAAGAAAGACATAACAACAACAAAAATCCATGAAATCTTAACTTGTCAATCTGTCTTAATACAAGAGTAAGTAGGGATGAAGAGACAAAAAAAATCTGTTCCAGGATCCCAGGTCCTAAAGTAGGTAGTCCCTGATGCTGTAAAGAAAGGAAGAGATGATCAATTTGGGGGTCAGAGGTGACAGGGACAAATTCTGCAGGAGCTGACATTGAAGATAGGTCTGGAAGACATTATGGAGAGAACAACAGAAGTGCAGGCCCAGAGGAAAGCAGAAATTCAGAATGACTAGGTGGTGATAAATTGCCTGATCACACCAAAGCTCTGAAAAAGTGGCAAAAAAAGAAAGTGGAGGGATTTGAAGTCACAAAGGCTTGAGTCTCAAGCAAATTGTTTTAGAACAAGTGTGCAAATTGTGCTGTGGCCTATAGTAGTGATAAGGAGAAGGCTATGAGTGCAAGAGCCATTGGTTTTTATAACTAAAGAAAATCAGTTCCATTACTTTACATACACATTCACATGTACAAGCATACATATTCACACCTACACCTACACACACATACACACACACACAAACACACACACACATCTTCAGTGACAGCCAAGGCCGAAGACCACTGAGAGAAACAGGAAGTTTTCAAACTTAAGAGTTTATGCATCAAGTGTCATTTGTTGATTGATTCATTCATTCAAAATGGTACTTAAATTGATGGCTATTTATCAAACCTCTGGGATATAAAAGTGGGCAAGACAGATGTTAAGGGCAGAGAGATAGCTTAGTACACATATACTAAGTAATTATATACATACAGAGAACAACTGAGCTCTTGAGATTGGCTGAAGGTTATCCCAAACTGTTCTCTAACACATGATGTGACTCTTCCCTCAAAACCTCTCTGTGAAGCTGGGTGCCAGTGGCTGCCATCTGCAATCCTAGTTATTCAGGAGGCTGAGAGCTGAGGATCACAATTCAATGTCAACTCTGGCAGAAAATAATCTGTGAAACACTTAATTAACCAATTAACCAGCAAAAAGCCAGAAGTGAGGTGTGGTTCAAGTGGTAGAATGGTAAAATGTCAGCCTTGAGCAAAAGCCAAGCAAGAGTGCAAGGTCCCAAGTTCAAGCTCTAGTACTGGAACAAATAATTTCCCTGTAAACCCTGGGTCTGTCATTTCACATCTCCATTTCATAGGTCAAGCATCTGAGAAGTAAGGCTGATCCAAAGAGTGTTAAGGAACTGAAAATCTATGAAAAAGAGTAGCAAGACAATCTATTCTCAACCAGAATAAGCAAACCGGAAAACATATAAAATAAATACATAAATAAAAAAGCAAATAGAAAAGCACATTTATTTACAAGAATCAAAGATGTCCATTCTTGAAGTACATATAAAAATATCCATACTATAACAAAGGATTGGGAAGTATCTAAATTTTCATCTTTTGGAAGTGGTTCTATGATATATGAAATGTTCATGTGTCCGAATTACATCGGGTAAAAGAATATTAGAAGGAATTAGCTAGATTCATACTCAGATGATACTAAAATACACAGGGATGATATTAAAATATTGAACACTTGGCCCAGGCTAATCACAACAAAAGGTCTAGTAATGCGTTCAAAGTCACCAACACAGAGAGATGGTAAAAACACAACACTGAGTGACAAAAATAAAGTATCAAGAGCTAGGTAATTATAATGCCATCAATATAAAAGATATCACACAGGGGCTGGGAAGGTGGCTCAGTGGTAGAGCTCTTGCCTTGCATGCATGAGGTTCGATTCCTCAGCACCACATAAGCAAAAAGAAAAAAGCCGGAAGTGGCGCTGTGGCTCAAGTGGTAGAGCGCTAGCCTTGAGCTGAAGAGCTGAGGGACAGCATCCAGGCCCAGAGTTCAGGCCCCATGACCGGACCCCCCCCCAAAAAAAATAAAAAGCTCACACAAAACAAAACTCTATGTTGCCCAGGGATTCATAAGAATTAAAAATGTCAGGGGAATAGTAAACATCTAATTCAGGGTGGCCATTGCTTCTGTGTCTCAAGGAAGGGAATTGTTAGTAGAAGCTGGGGATAAATGGGGTGTAACTCTATCTGTAGTTGTGTAATTCTCTTACAGAAAGAGACTGGAAGCAAGTAGAACAAAATTTGCATAGCTGTCAACTCTAGGTAGCGTACACACCTGCTGTATAGTGTGAACATCTGTAAGCACAGGTGTTTGGGGTTTACCTTATTCCATGTAATTTTATGATTTATAAAATAAAGTAATGAAACTCCTCCAGGCAGGAATGGAGGTGCATATCTGCTGTCGTAGCTACTCGGGAGGCTGAAGCAAGACCACCTGAATCAAGGAATTTCAAGGCAGCCTGGACAGCATAGCAAAACTTAGTCTCTTAAAACCAAAGAAAATCACTGTAAACTCTTGACTTATACAACCATGAAAAGTAAACGTAAAATGACTTGCATAAACTCCCTTAACAATGTGTTCCTGTGTAACAGGCTCCATCGAACTAAACATGGTCTATAGCCAACCCCTCTTGGCATCATCAATGAACATATCGTCTGCAAAGGTTCATGAATCCAAATGCCCCTCTTTCTATCATCGTCTAGGGATAATTATATCTTTTAGGCCGTCTAAGAAAACACCAATTCTTTGTTCTGTTTGCAGAAGTGAAAAGTTACTTATCCATCAAAAAATATATGCTACATGGTCATCTAAAATGGCAAGCATCAAATGCTTCCTTTTTTAAATGAACTACCTGGATAATTCTCTATAGTAAAGTTACAAAAAAAAATACAGAGATAGCTGGGTACCAGTGGCTCATACCCATAATCCCAGCTATTTAGGAGGCTGAGATCTTAGAGTCACTGTTTCAAAGCCAGTATGGACAAGAAAGTCAGCAAGACTCTTATCTCCATTTAGTCAATAGAAAACTAAAAATGGAGCTGTGGCTCAAGGTGGTAGAACACTAGCCTTGCACAAAGAAAGATCAAGGCCTGAGTTCAAGCCCTATGACCGACAAAAAGAAGGAAAATAGAGTTCCATACACCTTTCACCTAGATTCCCTCATATTTTCATCTTCATCGAGGGAATTTTTTTCAAACCTCAGAGGAAGATAAGTCATACAAACAACTGTGAAGAATCACCATGTCATGTAAAGAGGTGAGCTGTAACATTGGTTTTGGATGAATGAGACCTGGTTCTAGTTGGTGCTGGCTTTGAGATATCATTACAGGCAGGTTATCCTGAATCTTTGGGATTCAGGTGGCTCTTGCACATTTGAATTTTGGATTAGCCATAGATTGCCAAAGTATCTTCCATGGGTTCTCATGGGTGCCTGGATATGTTGACCTCTGGCTCAGGATGTGGAAGGTCTACTTGGTTTCTGTTCTACTACCTTAGGCTGATCATCTTGATTCCTCTTTTGTATACCAAAGCTGCCTTGTAATATTTCATTTCAGAAAAGAGTTTTACTGCTTTAAAAATAGAAAAACTTAGTAGCTGTCAAAGTTCCCCTCATCCTGGCTCTAGGAATCAGTCCATCTTAGGAATACAGTATTGGTTCCCTGAGTCTTAGTGTCAATATGCTAAGGAGCACACAGGTGCCAAGTCTCACCCATCCTCTTGTCTAAGAATTAGGCACAGATACATTGGTTTTAGTCTGTAGAAGCCAATATCAAGGAGGCCAAGGATAGAACATAGCTTCTTTAATGGGCTGGAAGACATTTTTGTTTATTTTATTTTTTTCAAAAACAACTGGGACCAGGTTTAGGCAGAGGCTGCCAGAGGATTGTGTTTCACTTTACAACAGTGCGAGACTTTGCATAAACTATCTACGGCATTTGAAATCCAGGCCAGCAATTCGACATGTATCGTTTAGGAATGCTTTCCTCTGTGTTCTTAGCTGTCTGTCTCCCAGCCGATGGTGGCATAGCATATCTCTGAGTATGGGTCTTGGAAGTGGAGGGAGGGGGGTGTTCTTATCTCTGCATCTTAAGCATTCATGGTCAGAGAATTTGCCAACATGAACAAAGCCTTCTTACTGCTTAAATACGATTTCCTCTTATCTCGTCAGTTCTATCAGCACTAGACAAGGCTTTTAGCAGAACATGCTGCTGTTATTTTATTCTCCTGTTTTCCTGGTTAGTTGTGTATTTGTTTCAGGCTGACTGCAATCTCACTAGGGACAGTCGAAGCAGATCAGAGAGGAAAGAACAAATCCAGCTGAATCTTGGCCCAAAGCCCTTGCTGATTTTCAAGTCATTTCTGTTCTTGGGGAGGTGGAGGAAAAGGGAGATGTGAATCTTCATAAGTCTCCTGCTTTTGTGAATAGGTCATACACTTGCGCATTTAGCACCCCTTAATTGAAGAGGAATGGCATGCTGGGGTCCGGAGTGCTGCGAGAGGGAAAAGGGCCTCACAGATACTGCAGGCTGGCTAACTGAATAAAGGCATGGTCTCAAGATGACTGATGCGGTGGCCACAGTGTGTCCATCTCCCCACATTGAGGCAAATCCTGCTTCATAAGGCCTTACTGGGCAATGGAGGTTTTACTGAACACTTTGTGGGGGACACACAGGACAGTCACACTGCACACCCTGGAAGACTCTCCCCACCATCCACCCTGACATCTCATTCTCTCCATTCGTCTGCACATTCTTCCAGCTGCTCAAGTGTCACAGGCTCCAGGGATCTTCCAACTACTCCCAGACTCCTCTCTGATCCCAATATGAACATCTCCCTCACACAAGTCATGCAAAGCCCATTATGTTATCCCATCTATACTCCACCCTGCAACAAACCCTTCTAATGATCTAGCCTCAAGGATGGCATGGCACTGTACATAGTAACCTCTGTCCCCCTCTGTCATAGTAGGGTAAACACAACCTACTCCCTCCTTTCCCATTATTTGCTGTTTCGTAGAGCACATCAAGGGTGCTCTAGAACAGTAGGGTTTCCTGAAAGAGGTCAGTTCTCTAGAGCTACATTGTTCCTACTCCT